AAGATTCGATGGTACGGGCGTGATAACAAGGACTCTTGGGAACCTGAAGCTAATCTAGGTCAAGTACGCGGACTTATTGAGCGTTTTCTCCTCGCTCACCCCCCACCGCGGTCACGATCGAAGTAAACGCTTTTCAGTGGGTAGAGTGTCATGGTTATCACGACAGGAAGCTCAACATTGAAGACCAAGCCGCAAGAAGCACGTTGTTCTCCAACTTTCCGGCTGCAACACTGTTCAATTCATACTTTAGGATTTGACTTCGATCTCTCAGATGGCAGCTAGACTCTACTACTTCAAGCTGCCATTCAACATCAACCATAGCTAGACGAAGTTCTCCATTTATATTCAATTCAAATTTGCTTTCTAGCACTCAATTCGAGTCTCAACAATCGTGTATAACGTGACACAATCAGTATTGTTCGCCTACAATATTGACAATTGTACAATTTCAATGTTTTTTTTTTTACCGAGCCCTGGTTTGTTTGGGTATGGAGGGTCTTCCCGAGTTGCGCCTAGCATCGGTGGTGGCGCCTCCGCCTGAAGGCGTGTCCATCATGCTCTCTGCGTGGATTGTCGACGGTTCGGTGCTCTGTGGCGACCCCTGGCCTCCATCAGCCATGTCACCGGCCTCATCGCCATCTTCGTCGTCGTCATCGGAAGGAAACAAATCTCCGAAACGAGCGTCCACGAGCCCGTTACTAGTAGCTATGGAGCCCAAAACGGCAGGAACCGCCTCACCGGGAGAAGTTTGGGTCACCGGTGAGCTTGATTCAGTGGAGACGGCCTGATCTGGCAATTCGTCGTCACCGGGGTCGTCAGTGGCGCCTACAAACTCGTTGCTTTCGGAACCATCGAGCTCTTCATCACCGAAGGAACCAGCAGCATGTTCTAATTCGCCTCCCGTCGCTGCGTTCACCTCCGCTATAAGCTGAGCGTCGTCTTGACCCTCGTCCTCTCCGTCATGAGATTCATTGGCTCCTCCTTTCTCTTCGATCGCGTGATGTAGTTCGTGAGCTCACAGCACGGGCTTATGCTTGGGTGGCAAGCGGCCGTTGTAGCCGGATCGCTTCGGCTTTGTGTACAAATTCTTAAACTTTCGACGGAGAGAGTCGAAGTCTCGCTCGGCCCAGCTACTGCTGCGTTGACTGTTGTACAGTCTTGCGGTCTGCTCCCACATGTTGCGCCCTGTGGGTTTTACAGTCTCTATGACATGGCATAGCAACATTTGCTTCTGAACGGAATAGTTCGTGTAACCGGTACGACGCCCTCTCT